AATTCTGCGGCCTTACTAAACTAACACATTGTGAATGCATATAAGTTATGAAGATACTAACTAATATTGTTTTGTAAATTAATTATCATAACGTTATATAACATTGTTTTAATTTGTTTAATTTGTATGAATTAAGTAATTATATGCAGATTCAGTACAGATATTACATCTATCTTTTGGCTAGTACAGTATAAACATTGTTTGCAGCAGTATTTATATGTATCGTTCGGGCAGCAATTTTACAGGAGTATTTGGCATAGGTTTAGTAGCACTCATGACCATAGAGCCTGTGTTGTCGCTTATGCGACAAAACTGGGCCCAGTATTTCAACATCACCAGCCTAGGACACACAAGACGCATTTATCATTTCGACTTGTCTTTACATCACGTGTCATGTGTAACTACTCCGAAACCTATCGAAATCCCTACATCTGACTCAACATTTCTGGAATCAGCTCGAACGACAAATGCGATCCAACGCCGATTGTCAATTCTACTTTCAATAGTGGTTCGCAACTTGCAATTGCATATTGTTGACACATTGCCGGCCAAATTACTTCAATTTTGGCGCCTTGTTTTTTTTTAACAGAGCGTTTTATGTTCTTTGAAGGCGTTTCAGAGGAAAGGATTATACATTTTAAGCTTGGCGTCTCCGAGATTAATTTTCTCCAAAAAGCCGCGCTAATTTCTTCCCTTTTAATCAAACATTCATTTCTTCGTACAAAGTTCCTTGAAGTTGATTGTCAATTTCTTTCTATTAGTTCGGAGCGTTACCGAAAGATCGCACCAGCTCCTGGGCCACTCCCGCGTAAACCTGGCATTGTCGAAATGCTAGAAATTTTCTATCACAGACGCCTGTTCTCATTGTCACCACAAGCTAATGCGGAAAACTTAGTAAAAGCGTCTTGAACGTCTTCAAGGTTCTATTCAGAGTGTGCCAGGCACTGAATGTAGTTGAAACACGAAGCAAAAGTCCACGGAATTCGTAAGGAAAGGTTAAATTTTGTTTGGACAGAGATAACTGTGACAACTTCTTCAATACTCTTCTATTCTCTCTCCAAGTAACAATCTTTGTCAATTGTGTGTCGTCTCTTTTCCAGAACACTCTTGTCTGACAAAAACTACTCAGAAGAGGCGATTCCATTAAAATGCTTTCAACTTTTCTTCGACTATTTAGCCGCCTGAACACATATCGTTGTATGATATCATACACAATGTCCTATAAGGACTGTGTAACTTCTTTCCGAACACAATAGGCGCATTAATGGCGTTTCGGGTCCGCGGGTGTGCAACGTGTTTCTGATACGAAAAAAGGCTCACCGTTTTCAAGATATTTCTCTAATACTGTAGCTTTTACACTGTAGGAGAATGACTTCACAACGTGCAATTAAGTTTCATTTTTATCATTGTAAAATCACGATCGTTGATGAATAATAAACTAAAATTGGTTTACGGGATTGGCCATTGTCCGTAGAAAAACAATTAGTTTTGCCAACATTTCGAAATATTTAATTTCTTAAACAGGACTAGAGTATAAAAAATGAACAGTCCATGAGAACAACAAACATTTCAATAAATTGATTAGTTAATTAATTAACATTACAAATAAAATAAAATATAACTAACATAAATAAAACACCAAGATATGTAAAGTACACTCCTTATTAATAATCATAAAGGTAGAGTCTCATTTCAAGCCACAATATCCAACTCCTCATGGAGTTGCTGAAGCACGTGGCTCCATCGAGCGACAAGTGTGAATGGAGCCAATGCCCTAACCGCAAACGAATGAGAACCGGTTGAATTGATTGAACCACGCGCTACAGACACTCCTTGCCTCTCCACCATGTGTTTCTGGTCAAGTTCATGTTAAATTATCAATATAACAAGACCACGTTCTGAGGAAACTTTATGCAAATGTTCAAAACTAGAATATTGACCTCATTTGTTATTATATTGTTAATATTATTAATTGAGGTTAAGAGAGAAAAAATATTTAAAATGAATATAATATATCACGACACTTTTCCGGTCATTATACTGGTATTGTTGAAAATGAAAATAAAAATATATATAAAACACATACATACATTTACACATACATATACAATTAAACATACACAATCATACACACAACTTTACACTTTTCTTAATTTTTGATTTTTGGCTTAGAAATTGTCGTACTTTTATAAAATTTGTGTTTTCGCAGCAGTTGTTAGATTTGACACTTATACTGTCTGGTTCGCTTAGCTAGGGTATACTAATTCAATGCTTTATAATTGTTTCATTTACAACCGTATTTCTTTTACGCATGTCATTTCTCTTAAAATAATTCACTACTAAAGCACGTATTTTGTGTTTATGTAACTGTGACTTTGCAGCTTGATTGAGACGGCCCAAAGAGCAGTCTCAGCGAACCCAACCTCCAGCCTTTTACTCCAAAAACCGGTTTTCCCATCCTTTGGGCTAAGTGTTTGATGAAGACCATAGACGCTTCCTTGGAGAGCCAGCCCTCCACACAGTGTGCAATGTGCCTTGCCGGGGCCTCTGACCATCTGTTCACTGGCGTGCTCTCATTCTTATCACTGTGGAAATAAATGATTGAGCTACTGCGTATTGTAACCGACTTGAGCCAAACAGCTTCATGCACCAGTTTGCGATACAATATTAGCCGAAATTTTAAATGCAAATTTTAAATGCATCAAAATTATCACCTTGTTACAAGTCATGAAGACATAATCATGAAGCATTTAAAAAAATGCATCTTCTATTTCAATTACACCTTCATCGTGTTATATTTAGTTGGTCACCATTGAAAATGGCCACTTTATGCCATTTTAAAAATGTTTCACAACATTCCTAGCGCTCCATACAACATGGCGGCCAGCGTCTCATCTGGCTATTCAAACGAAGCCCCCATAATGTGGTCACGTGATTCATGATGCATCTAGCGCTGTGCAGAACGCGCAAAAATCGGTGAGTTGGGCTAGGCCACCCATCCCACTCCACAATGATCCCTACTTAATCAACTCGAGAAGACGCCTCAGGGGCCCCTATGACTTAAATTCGTGACCGCTAAGTTACTGCAAACTGCTTTGCAGATCTAGCAGTTCAACTCAACGAGAAATAATTCTGTTAAACAAACTTGGAGGAAGCAAGTGAATAACAGCACACTCTTATTGAACATTAACTTCAAGCCTGTTTTTTGCCATATTTTTAAAAACCGTAGGACACTTTTCTACATACCCATATAAACAAGAGATCTCGATACATTATACCAGAGAGCTGAGATATCTTGAAAGAAAAAGCAATTTCTTTATCACCTAGAAAAGAGCACTGGCTATCATACATTGCGTAACTAGTAATCTCTCAGCTTCGGACGTTGCACAACGTTGGCAGATTCCGAGCTGTTCCTGCCGAATCTGCATACTATATTGGAAGCCGGTAACGAACTTTTGATTCGTTTCTAGAATATGGGTCAGTATTACATTACTCGAAATATGAGCAAAAACTTAATATTTTATTACTACAAAATCAAGGTATTTTATTGGTTGCGTCCTGCATAGTTCTATAAAATAACCTACAATAATATCACCAACCTGGGAGAGAAGTCGCACTATTTCAGCATTGGAACCTTATTGTCATTTGTTGAAGCGACGAAGACACTTTGATTCACGGATCCAAAGATGGTTCAGTTGCTTCGTGTCAAATCTGAACAATTGAGAAAGATAAATACATCTCAAGATGTACTGCAGTGTATTTTTAGTACTGAAATGAATGAACGAGTATGGAGGTAGTAGTTTCAACATAAACAGTTTATTCTGCTTAACCCTATGAGTTCAACGGTCTCCTTTGAACGTAAAATGCTATGGGAGTCCTTTTGGAACCCAATTTTTAATATCACTACAGCTAAACGAGTTGGTTTGTAGATTTCTGTCATCTACTTCAAAAGTTTAATGCTTATAGAAAATAAATAAATTTTAACATTTTTTTCTAAAAAAAACTAAATTTTAGCTAATATTCTATGCACACATTTTCTCTCACCAGTTACGTCTACTATATATACTTTTTCATAATATGAATTCAAAGACAATACGGAGGGCACGCCAAACGTTTCCGGAAAGTTGTTAAGAAGGTCTACGTAATGAACAAATGGCGGCTAATATACGTACATTGGATTCATTAAAATATTTTATAAAAATAGCTTTTAGTTTATGTTATAAAACCGATTAATAATAGCAAGCGGAAAAATATGTGTGGTCCATTACCTTTCATTTAAAGCAAAACTCACGAAATTGAATAGAAAGCTCAAATTTTCATTCAAAACGAAAACACTGAGTGTTTTAAATATTAAAAATTTCGGCAATTTTTGAAATATCGAACGTTTTTTATTAAAATTGGAACTATTTGATACTTACAAATGCACTTTCTTCTGTTCAAGCAAACAACGTGCCTCGTCAGCATTTTCCAGAATACTTTGAAAATGTCGTAGGGGCGCAATGTAAATTCACTTAAAAATTAAAATAACTTAATGACCTTTATGACAACCGCCACCTCCTGTAATAAAAATGTGCATTGCATTTTCGGGACTAGTGATCATAGAAGGCGTCGCGGCCGGCAACATAAATCAAATGAAACTTAAAAGAGGATTTCACAATCAAAAATACGAGGTCGAATAGTTGGGGTGATTCCAATTATTTCCCTCCCAGAGTTGTAGTTCAAGGAGAAAAACTAAATTGTGTGTAGTTGTTGTGTAATCACATAAAGAAGAGAAAAAGGTTTTGGAATGCCACTCTTTCTCACTAGTTTTGTTTTGTATTTTATTAAACAACCGGAATAAAATGTAATATAATATTCCTCACGATAACATGCCACGATAAATATTTGTTCTACTATACCAAGCAGAAATGAGTTGCGAAACTCTTCATTAGAATAATTTGTTTCTTCATAGGACGTAAGTGTGATTAAAATTTTAATTAATAAATATGATTAATTTTAAGAAACCTTATCTCTTCCTTTGTTTGCACCGACGAGAAACTCCATCACGAATTCTCTTATTCAGCGACGCTGTCAGTCATCCTGATACCGCGTCACAAATTGCTCCCACTCCGGTTATTTATTCATATTCTTGCTCGAGAGTCGGGTAAAAGTTAGGTTCCCGACAACGACACGTGATCCTTATTAACTTTTCTTCCTATTTCTTTTGTTTTCTGTTATTGGATTACAGACTTTTTGCCTGGGAAAGGTATCGCGCGAAGAGAGACCGATTCATAGTAGCGCACTTCGCCTACATTTTATTTAGACGTTAAATTGGAGAAAACAAGTAGTCACTGCTGTTCACTTTCAAGACATCGGAGGAAGAAGACACCTTTTGGAGATCGAAGTCTTTAAGAAGTGATATTACGTGCACTGTAGTAATAGTTCATTTAATACGGCAAGTTCTACAAACTTCACTAGTTGAGTTTTGGACGTATTTTGAAAAAAAAAGTGGTCACTCTGAACCAGAAAGTGGCGCCGTCTTTTCGAGACTTGAATATTCAGAGAAACTTGGACGTTGCGGATGTTGCTTATTAAAGAATCAACAACAGTATTAATAACACCTTCCAAATCACTTTCTCTGTTTTAACCGTATTTCATGTCCCGTACACTGACACCACTTACCTGTTGTAACCGCAAAACTAAACTAATATCTTACTAAGCGATATACACACGTTTTATGTGGTACGCTATTAGAGGAAAACTAGTTCCTTACTTGATACGTGCTGTCTGTTTGTTTTGACTTGTTTATTTTACATTTCACGCACCAACTCATTATTTAAAGTATATAATCTCTTATGTATCATTCTTCTACGCATGATTACGCATGTTATATTGAATATAACACAGTTACTTGATTTTCACAGTACTATTTCTTACGCATATGCTTAAGAAAATGCGATGGGGAGTGAGAGTTGTGGACTTGCAGCCCGTCAGTGATTTCATACCCACGTCTATTTGTTTACAACCACTTCGTTCTCACATTGGACAAGGTATAGTTCTTGTAAATGTGGGTAGTGAAGGGGCGAGGATTAGACAAATGAAGAGAAGGAAAGATCGCGCGCGGTCAGTGGCCCGTTTGTTATGGCATTCGCCTGGTGAAGATCTATGAAACCACGTAAAAACCACCGATCAGAGAAACCAGCCTCTAGAATTCTCCTCCAGACAGCGGCTGAATTCGACCTACCAACTCATAGTTTCAAGTTGTCCTTTCGTAGGACAAATCCCTCATTCAAAATAATCCCTGCCCCTTCAAATAGAAGTACATAGATTGAATTTAGAGTAGCTGTTATTAGATTAAGGTCCGACGTTTTCTGCAGCACCATATCACGAATACGCTTAGAAGAGCGATGGTCCTCCTTGAAGGACACAGATTGCATCTAAAGTACGCGGATGTCAGACTAGGGTCTGGATTTTTCTGCAGCACCAAATAAAAAAAAGAGCGATAGTTCTCCTTCATTCGTCGTCACCGTCTACCTTTCCCGCCCTCCTTTCCACTCGTTGCGCGCTATCGATCGCTCGCGGAGCGCCTAGAGATATGGAAAGAAGCGACCGAGGGTCTTTTGTGCGAGTGATTTGCTGTACCGGAAGCGCACCCGTTCGACCTTCTCCCCGCCGCCCACACCCCGCGCCAAAGTCACGATTCTGACTTCCACCATACCCACCCCTTCCACACATCCACTCTCCGTGACGTCACATTGCTTCTGTCATTTTTTTCAGAGGGTTCAAGATTAATGCGTTTCCACCATACACGCAGCTTTTACCGGGATTAATTCCTATGTAGGTCAACCCAGTCGATAAAACTGGTTTAGTGCTTACGGCTGCGAATCCAGGGCAATAAGCATGGAGTTGCAAATGACTAATTTGGCGCTGCCCGCCTCGGGGGCAAAGAGGTCTGGAACAGGGTCCGAGTAAGCGATGCACAAGCCTTCTGGGTGAAGCGAGTGCGAGTGTATTTAATGTTAGCCGGCGCCTCGCTACTAAACTCATTGATCCCGCGAGTGTAGCTCATTTTAGTACCAGCAAGTGGCGATGACATCCCCCTCTGTAACGTGAGATCCGACGCTGACCTACACTTCCTGCCGGCAGTTGCGGGTATTCCAACGCTGGGTATCTCCTCCAATGGGGTAATATCTCAGTCGGCAAAAGTAATCTTCCGACTGGTCTTCCGATATGTGTGATAGTACAGTGCATACAAATGTGTCTATGTATGTGTGGTGTGTGTGTAAGAGCAGAAGAGAGAAAAAAGATGAAGAAGTGAAGATTGCGCGTGTACGGTGGCTTGTTTGTGAGGGTACTTATCCGGCATTCGCTTTGTATTTCTCGGAAAACTACCGAACAGAACAGCCAGCTTCTAGTATTTCTTCGACAGCGACAGAATTCAACCTAGTTATGAAGCTAGTTACGAAAATTAGCCATCATTTGGACTTAAACCCTAGAATATTCCGGCCAGAGACTGTAATAAAAGCGAGCCTATCATCTGAGACTCAAATTCCAATTTATACTCCGCTATGGTGAAGCAGTGTAACAGTGTGTGTGTGTGTGTGTGTGTGTGTGTGTGTGTGTGTGTGGTGTGTGAGGAGGGTCAAATAAAAAATACGTATCTACAATTAAACCTGGCCCGAATTAAGAAAAGTTAGCTACCTTGGCTGCGACTTGACCTTAGATTTTGTGAACGATATTGACACTAAACTCGGTTAGTTTAAAAAAATGTGCGACTCAACAAAGCGGACTCTCTAGAAGAAGACGAGAATAGAGACGCAACTAAAAATGTACGAAGTGATGGCAATACCAATTTTGCTGTACGGAAGCGAGTCATGGACATTAACGAGAAAGAAGAGTAGTAATGCACAAGCTCCCGAAATGAGATTTCTAATATCAGAAAAATGCTGCCTGTTAGATCAGACAAGAAACAAAAGCATTCAAAAATACCTCAAAAGTTCACCGAGATCACACCTTCAAAGGATGGAAAATGATTGGCTGACAAAAATTGATCTGACCATTACTGTGCAGCTGGAAAAAAAGATCCTGGTAGGCACAGACAACACTGACGACTCGACGATGACAAATCTCATAGCCTAAACCATGAAAGGAAGAAGAAAAATAAAAACTGTTGTAATTTTGATTAACGTTATCATTGCTTACGTAAAATGTTGCAATTTTCTCTCTTCCCATTTTACTCCAAACCCTTCAGAATATACTTTAAAAACTGTTTTATTTCTTTTATATCTTCACCCAATACGTTTATCACTTGAGGTTCAAAACCCAATAGACGCTACACAGGATTTGATTTACTCTCCAAGAATAGGGCCATGCCGTCATTCGATTGAGTTTCACGCCAGACGCTGCAGTAGTCGACTGCGCAACTTCAAATGAACCGCCGGAATCTGGTACCGGCGCCGCTCAACAGAGGCCGACGACAGCAGCCGCCGCGGCGCCGTCACGCGCGTCCAGGCACCGAGCGAGGAGACACCACCCCTATCCAGGGGCTGGCCAGCGGACCCTCTGCCCCACCAGGCCAGGCTATGAAGCAGCGCCGCGGCGGGCAGAGGGCAGGTCCGTCGCGAACCTACACAAACAATTTACACCTCGCAGAAAAACGCAGAAGGCGTGTGCATTGCAATTACTATCAGGTATCCTCTGATCAATACGATCATGATGCGATCGAATCACCACACCGACCTTCGGCTACCCCCCCCCCCGAAAAAAAGAGGGCAGTTGAGCGCTTACCAGCAGTGACGAGTACACCAGTGGATAGTGAACAGCGGTAACGAAACAGCGCAGTGAACGGACTCTTCCATTCTCGGACGGATACCTCGGTGCCCCGGCTACGGAATTTGGACTTCTCCTCGGACAACGGCGACTTGGGCAACTTACCGGTACATCTACAGAAAATTGTTACACCTGGCTTGGATATGAATACTCTGTACGGGTGCGAGGCCAAAATAAATCTATTTTAAGAAAGTACGTTTTTTAGACAAAACAGACGTAATCCGTAGACGCTCTTGCAGCGAATGTTCACCGCTGTTGTTTGAATTGTGATGGTTGGCTGAGATAGTTCATTCACCATTAGTGGATTGTTCAGACTCGGAGCTTATCTGTTCTCTCGAACTTCACTCCACATGCAACAAACATTGTAGGATGTGTCTATTTAGCCATCTTGTAATTCAAGATTGGCGGCACCATTCGCACGTAATAAATTTAAAAAAATGTTCGTGTAAAGTTGTGGCACCACTATTTACGAGAGATGTGGGTCGTGGATCGGGAAGGGATATTTTCACGACAGCAAATCTGTATCTGTAAGTGTCATGCGCATATTGTTCGCAGACGCAAACACGATTTATATTACAAGAACAGGGAAAATGTCATTCTTTCAACCGTTTTCAACGTCCAACACATTAATAACTTTATTTATAATTACAAAAACCCTTGCAATTACTTCGAACAAATGAACAGTTGTAAATAAATATACAACAGAAATGTACACATATTCACTGTATGGAAAAATAACCTCCCTCACATATTGTTTGATGTCGTTCGGTACTTTTTATCTACGTTCGACGTATTGAAGGAAGTTAACAAATTCTGAAAAAAGTACAGCTACATATTCACTGTAAGCAAAGAGTTCAACATGTTTCAGAAAGAGAAATTGAATTGTTTTATGTTGACCAAGCTCTGGACGTATGTTCCTGTAGACTAAAGCAGGGAATCCTACTACCCAACTGAATTTTAAACAATGTATAATTATAATAACTGAATATTTCTTTTTGTAAATGAAATATTCCTTGATTGCTTTCTGAAATTCATTTAACCGAACGACGAAATAAACAATTGACGACATATGAGCGTTTTCGAGGGGGCTAGATGGGAGGGGTAAAGTGGCTCCCCAAGATGCAAGAGCGTCCATACCGTTGGTCGAGCGGCCACCCTCACCCTCAGGAAGACAGTGGGCGAGCACGTGACCGCCAAAATCATGAGAAGGCAGATGCCAGGCTGAGGGGCTTCGCTTTCGCCTTGCCTCGCGTGTGGCCGCCACTGCTAGCCCTGGGGGCGGACGCGGACTCCCCGAGACAGCGACTGCGTTGCATTTGCACTGGGCACAGGCGTGCTAAAGAGACTGGTTGGAGGATGCGCTAACCAAGGGATGAGGAGCAGTGTGCGTGGGAGTAACGGAGATAGAGAGCGAACATAATCCCAGATCTGTACATAGTTGCAAAACGCTTGTAAATAAACAGATTGCAAATAGCAGAGGTGGATCCAGAAACAAATTTTGGGAGGGGAAATCAAAAATGTTTTATCATTACAGACTTTGTAAAATGTCGCAGACTAGACTCAGCTCATGTTGCAATACGATTTTATTCGTTTTAATGATTATCCGAAAATACGTTTGCTTGAAATTTTCCTGAGATGTGTAAAAATTAATAGATACAGATAACTTTTCTGGGCGAAATTTCCATAATTTCCCTCAGCGTGGATCCGCGCCTCTGTCTGTCTTCATTTTGCTGCCACGAAGCCACACATGATAATATTTTGAAAACAGTGAGCAAAAGCATGTGATCATTTTATAAAAGCCTATATAATTTCCTAAATTGAAGGAAATTAAGGAATGGAAATTGATTTATTCTGATTGCACACTTATCCACGAAGGAAGAAAGTCAAAATTGCACCTATTACAACTGATCCACCACTTTACGTAATGTATTCATTCTGTTAACCTAAGCAATACTATGGTATATAAATGATCCTGTGCTTTATCACGAGGGAACAAGAACCCATCGCTTCCTTTATAAATATTTATTTTCACAAAACATGCACAAAAATAATTATGAAGGGAAAATGAGAGCATATTAGGTATAGGTAACAATACAATACTCATGTAACCCATAATTAAAAAATAATTATATTGACTATATTTGAATAAATAACTTATAATTTAATAAGAAGTGAATTGAAAAGCAAAGGAAATAATTATTTAAGTTAACGAGGTTGAAAAATGTCTATATAGAAACGTGAATGTGTTAGGGAATTTGGAAAATAATTTCGACCTAAAGCAAAATGATTAGGAGGGGTAGTAGTAAAGTTGTTATAAAAGTTTTTGATCCAACTTTAACTTAACGTTGTGAGTACGCTGAAACTCCAATTACATTTTGGACTAATTTGATAAATCAATAAATTAGTATAGCTAATACAAATGAGAATGTGTGGAAACATAATTTTCTGTCTTCGTATTTGAAAAAAATCTACTTTATTCAAGAGGTATTTGTATGTAAGGACAAAACCTGTTATATTTTTATTTCAAATTAAGGCTTCTGTATCTTGACAACATAATGAAGTATTATAACACAATACTAAAATTAAATAAACTACAAATATTTATTTTAAGTTTAGTTTTCGACTCAATGGTCCCTATGCTTTTATCCACAAACACGTGAATGTTATAACTCAAATTAAAACAAACAATACTTCTGATAAATTGCATCGTATTTTGATTAAAAGTGCATCGCAAAAAATAAAAATGATTTTGAACTTTCTACAAAAACTTGAAATGCACTCGTAATATAAAACCAATCATTGGTGGGCCTCTGAGTATGGTAATGCTAGAGTTAATTAAATGGTTATCTAACGCCGTTCGGAAATCGGAAGAAGGAGAACACAAATATGTCAAAAACAAAGGTTATACTACCGCAAAGGATTCTTTTAAAATGCCGAACATTCAAGGTGATGGAATATTCGAAAGAACATAACTATAAAGCTGTCCATTTCTCGTTGCTCCAGTATTGATTGAATTATATATTTGTGAATAAAACGAAAAAAAACGAACTACATTGTAGAGAACGTCTTTGTTCGTTGGTAAAGAAGCCATAAAAATTCAAGTGATCTGCTCAGAGTTCGGAAACGAAGGCAATTTCTTTCTTTCTAACTAAACTTTCGAGGAGATTGAAGCTTCCGAGGCAATGCATGATTCTGAGCCATTGCTACTTAATCAGTATATCTCCTTGAATTATACTCTTTCCCATGTGTTTTAAGAGAAAAGTGAACATAAAATATTTGAAGCAATTTTTTTAGTACCGTTAAATGTGGCAGTAATTTTCAGGTTAATGGTTTTCAAGAAATGAAACCTCAGCTCAAGAAATGAAACTATCGCTCCTAAAATTTCAATTTCACGTTTCCCTCTATGACAAGTATTTTTAATTTATAGCAGACGCTTTTAGAAGCTGTTGGTAGAAGACAGGAAATTTGTAGGGAATTTGCTAGTAAGTAATGTAGTCTCATCCTGTAATGAAGATGGAGACTTTTAGGATGTTTCCAACTGAGTTCCGAACCAGACGAACAAGAACGTAGACATCATAATAAAGAAGTCGTCTTCAGAACATTTTGTCCTTTTCACTTCTTTGAGAAACCTTCTCGTTTGAAAGATAACGCAATTATTTCTCGCATTTCTATACGTAAAACTTTTTTCTTCACACTTCACCTTCACGATGAACCGAGAAATGTAAATACCCACTTTAAGATCCATTATTTTTTTCATTTTCCTGGATCCCCCCATTGATCAGCCTAATAATGTTTGCCCAAGAAATTTGTTCATCCCAGGCTTTTCTTTTTGTTTTGATGAATTTAACTATTTCCATCACTCCGCATCATTCCTTATGTCTTGCTGATTTATTCAATTACTTTTTGTTTACTTGATATTGCTCCCAAAATAATTTCTTATGTAACTCGCACTAATTGCAAAATGTGAAGGAGATTTTTGAAAATCGATTGGTTTTCTGGTTTTAAGGTTACAAAAATCATTTTAAGAGTTCAAATGGTTGAAAACTTGTGATAATAAACTATGGATTAATTAGCAGTTAATATGTTCAATCAAATAACAATAGAGGGAAATAAAATATTCATTTTATTTTGCAACAGAAATTTTAATTAATAACTTATTGAATCATATTATTCACAATGTTCATTTAAAATTTATCCCCACATCCAAAAATACTTTTCGTCTCCCTCCTGTAGAGTACCATGACTTTTGAATTGAAATTTCGTTCCCTTATTGTGTCGGACTTTCTTTTTACCACGTTGAGGTCACTGGACAACAGGGAATGGTGGTGTTTTGCTGAGTAAGAAAATGTCAATAAGGTCGTTCATTGAAGTGACCGTGAATACATTTCTTTCTCTTTCTCTCGGGCTTTCCGTGTTCAGTCAGTTGCTCATTAAAAATGAACAATTCCTTCACTATCACATTCACTATTCTATCGCTTCACACGCAAAATTGTCAGTTCCCAATTATCAAAATGATTTCAAAGGTTATCACAGTTTGCAGTAAAAATAGTTGAGACAACTTTGAGGAAGTGCCATCAACGTCCTGTCTGAGAACGTGTTACAAAAATTGTATATATCACGTAAAGTAATCGATTGTTGGCCGTAATGACATATAATGACGTATAAATCGTAATGACACATAATATTCGCATGCTTTTCTCCACATGTTTCAAAATGTGTTTCCGCCCAGTCTGGATCATTCTATATAACGGCGCCATCTAAGACCACCCCGTGAATATTATGGATGCTGCAAAATATTATATTGATGAAACGATAGTTAGAGATATGTTTTTGAAACATCTTAGAGGTGTCAATATTGGTCCGATTCCATATACTGAAGGAACATATATTACAATGTTCTGTTCTTTCAAACAGACACCGTGCGTTTGTTTTGACTTGGTGGACTGGTAACAGTGGTGTATCCACTCAGCAGAGTGTAATTAGGGCGTCGCCTCAACCCTGTAGTGAGTAATATATCACTTCACTTTGTAAACTTCAGCGCTCCAGACCTTGTTAAAAAGACCTTTACAGTTGGAGGGGGAGGGAAGGCATCGGTTTTCCTCAGCAATTTTTCTCTCTTTCTTTGTTTAGGCAAAGGGTTGCGTTTCACGTTTAGGACTTTTAAAATTAGAACATTTAGTGATAGTTTAGGCTTTCAACATTTATCGAATCTTTACAAAAAAAGTATCAAGCAGTAGCCGTATGTAATTGCTAGATCTCGGAATTTTAGGCACAAAAAGTGATGATTTGGGCACCTAAAACAGGTAACACAATTATGACATTAGGCACTATTAAACATGAAAAGTGTAATTTTGGCGTTTAGCATAGGTTACAAAATTATTAAACAAGGTATTTAAAAAAGGTTACACATGAAAAGTTATTACTGGCATCTTAAATTAGCATCAGAAAAATATTAAATTAGACACTTTTTATTTTTCAGGCAAGTCAAATATTTTGACATTTATTATTACTTTATTCACTCTCAATTCAGTCATTCTTACACACTTTTCATTCTCTGTCAACCTGTCAACAGCGTAGATACACCGGGAATGAGTGCAATTGCCTAAGAAGCACGTGCTGGTCGGAGTCGAGCGTGAACTTTTATATTGACTTGCAAAGCTCTGTATGTTCGGTGTGTTAGGTGAGAGATTTCGGTGCACAGTATATTCGGTATTGAATCAACGAATATTCACTATTCGAAAAATTGGGAAAGTATTTGCGATTCGGTAAAACAAATATAAGAAATTACTTATTAAAATATGATAATTCATCAAAATTACTTGTTTTAGGCAGATTTAAGCAGAAATATAAAATTAGGAATCAACCGCTGTTTAGATCATTCTATACATCATTAGATGCTTCAATTAGATCTATTTTTTCAAGATTTGTAAACATATGCAATTATTTTCGTAAAGGAAATAAAGACGCATTTGTTCTAAAATGCGAGGTCTAGTAATCGATTCGGGGAATCTCCGGACTCTTACTCCGTTCTCTTACAGACGGACCTGTCGTTATCACATAGCAGTTATAATTAATAATTTGTTGGTGTAGCCGTACAATCGAAGAAACAATCAATGTTAAACTAGATCATCAAAATAACAACGTGGAACTCTGAGTCACAGAGAAAAGTACCGCAAGTACAAAAAATGTTCAACATATACATACCTTTGCCATAACCCAAAAATTGAAAATATTTTAAAAGAAACTAACAAACAAATAAACATAATAAGTTTCTAAATAATATAGCATTAGTTCTTACATACCTAATCTTCCTTCAATTGTTTTGTAATTCATTCTGGGTTTGGTCATTGATTCTCCTCTTTGTCCAGTTGATTGATTTGGACTAGTGATTCCGGACGCGTGAAAGAAGCGCTAAGGTTACTTGTCCCGTAACTGTAGTATATGATTTCTTTGCGGTCGGTGGCGTCTCACCATGCTAGATGGCGAGATTTGATGCAGACCTACCCATCGGCTAGCGGTTTTTTCGAAGCAGGTATCTTCCATCAGGAGGCACCACCCCAGCTGGAGCAAGTTCTAAGATCCTGACTGGTCCCCGGCATGTGTGGTGGTAAAGTGCAGTGAGTGTGAAGTAGTGAAGTGAGCGTGTAAATAAGGGGGAGAGGAAAGAACAAGGAGGAGGAAGGAAAGATCGCGCGCGGTCCGCGGTTCGTTTGTTAGAGTGCTGCTTTGGCATTTGCCAGTTTTCGATCGCAGAAACCTCAGAAAAGTACCGATCAAAGCCACCGGCAGAGCAGAAGAGTCTAAATTCCACCTAGCTATCTGGCTGGTGTCGAAAATATTGCCACCTTCGGAACTTCAACCTTATAGCCTCCCGGTGAGAGGTACAGCAGGGGCATCAACTGACACCCTCAGCCACCTATGCCAGACGTGTCTTCTTGAGTAAGATGTAATATTTAAACGATGCATGTGCAAACAGGGCGATATGCAATGGTAATCCTGAAACAGGTCGCAATACCACGACCTAAACGTAGGCAATTGTACCTCGCAACGCGGCGTCTCTCGAACAGCCAAGAATCGATTGACTGCGCCCTTTCGCGCGATTTCTCCCGACAAACGTGTTAGTACATCCAATTTTATAATGAACAAATGTGGGTCAACGAGCTGTGGAAGAACTCCATTGTAGCGATTATATTAAGATGGCTAGGAATATATACAAAATTATCCTATTTATTGTTGCTTATGTCATTAGTAATTTAACATAGGTTACAGATCTTTTGAATTCCAAAGGATCCGATGTTACATTGTCGCCTTCCTTTGAATACATATGCGCTATTCGGAAGTTTGTACGAGTAGTTTGTTTCGCGATGAAGTGTCTTTCTCCCGGCGCACTTTTCGGGGCCCCATTGCCCGAGGCGTACGCCCCGCGCGTGCCACCTGCCACGCTCCCGCCCCGGCCGCCAATTTCCCCGTTCCCAGAGGGCGCTTCCCGAAAACCAACTTCTCCGTTTCCCCGTGCAAGAGCTGCGCGGGTGGCAGCGGGAGCCCTGGCGCACTGTGTGTTCACGGGCACAGAAGGCGGGCAAAATTCATTTTATAGGAGTCGCCTGCGCCCCCTTAAAAGAGTCGCCACATGAACTCAGCAACGAGGCGGGGGCGCTACGAGAGAGAGAGAGAGAGAGTGACCGAGAGCGAGAGTGAGAGTTAAGGAGAGTGAGAATGAGAGAGTGAGATTGAGAGAGAGAAAGGGAGCGAGAGTGAGAGTGAGGGAGAGTGAGAATAAGAGAGTGAGACTGAGAGATAGAAAGAGAGAGAAAGATAAAGAAAGAGAGAAAGAAAGAGTGAGAAACAGAGAGAGAAAGAGAGAGAGAGAAGAGAGAGAAAGAAGAGAGAGAAAGAGAGACAGAGAAAGAGAGAGAAAGAGAGAAAGAGAAAGAGAGCGGGAAAGGGAGAGAGAAAGAGAGAGAAAGAGAGAGAGAAAGAGAGAGAAAGAGAGAGGGAAAGAGAGGGAAAGAGAGAGAAAGAGAGAGAAAAAGAGAGAGAAAGAGTGAGAAAGAGAGAAAGAGTGAGAGAAAGAAAGAGAGTGAGAGAAAGAGAAAGAGAGAAACAGAGAGAAAGAGAGGGATAAAGAGAATAAGAGAGGGAGAATGAGAGAGATAAAAAGAGAGAGAGAGAGAGAAACAGAAAAACAGAAAAAGAGAAAAAGAGAGAGAACTGCGCTTACGGCGTTGTGCGGGATGTGAAGTGAAGTGAGGGTATAGAGTATAGAGTGTTTACGTTGCCGGCGCTAGTAACTGACTTTTCTTCTGGATATTGGTATTGTGAATACGGCCTCGTATATGGACATCTCGTTGGATTATAGAGATTTTGGCAAGCTCTGGTACACTTCTCGGATAATTGGTAAACTACGCATTGTGAACGGTTTCTCTGTACAATTGTAAGTTGTAAATAAAATATTTTACGAAAATAACTTGCTTTGGGCATAACACATTTCATCTACTATCGCCCAAAGGAGCAAATAAACGCATAGCTATACGTACGGTGAGTGATGGGTGTTACCAGACGCGTGGACTGCTATGGTCATTATTTCATTAGTTGGGAATGTTTTATCACGGAAAGTGGCTCAGGATGGAGAGATCCAGGATTACACTTTGGGTTACGGGGTATGACTGTTTACTGTTTGCTCTCTTCCACAACGGGGCACCACCTCAGCCGGGGCGTGCTCTAAGCTCTCAATTGATTTCTCGCCATATACAAGCATTATTTCAGCAGGTGGGTTTACGCAGGCTGGTTGCAGGACACTACTCTTTACAAACATTGCAATTCAGATTATTAATGAAATAGAACGTTTAATTATCTTAAAATAAATTGTAATAACGCTAATAATAACAATAATAGTTACATTAAATGCAATAATAATTATAACTATCAGTGACTCTAAATTTGTATGACTTTTCTCTACAGCAATTAAACACATTTGACTTCACAACACGATATTGCACTTTCCTTTTCTTGTTTCTTTTATATTGCTCAACACTTCACAACAAAACACACCAAACAAACATGTCATTGAAAGTCATTACATTATAGACTTTTCCTTTAGTTAACTAAATATGCTCATTTATTCTATGAAACATTGTTGATTGTCACTATGTTTATGGCATGTGTGCATTAAAAGTTCACAACACCCAATCGGAACTCAGAGAACTGATCGAAATCGTTTAATTATGTATTTATAATACAGACGTTTCCGAAAGCTGTAAAACTTGAACAAAAATGTACATCACAGATTACGTACATGAAAAACATATAATCAATGAACGTACGCAGCAAAATTATAAACGAATAATGATTACTAAATGTTAGACAATCCTGTTAATATTAGTAGTACAGTAAGTTAAATGCGAATCTGTTACTCTACTCATCCTTGGCATCAATCATAGTAATTCAGAAGTCTTTTTATATTGCACGTATACAAGTTGTATTGCACGTATTATTATGTTTACTTCACCTATTTGAACGTAACGACTCAGAATGAGAAGTTGTTTTCGAAGAACTCTTTAATTTGTTGAGAAAATGAAGTAAATTGTTTATAATTTAAAATATTAATACTCTCCTTTACACGCCACGTCTTCACATAAATAAGTGTAAAATTAAGCATACTGTTTTGACACTAGCTGTCTAAAAGAACAGCATAAAATATTTTACATTAATAAATGTTACGCCTAAAACATTTGGTCTTAGCATATTACGATTATAAAAAAAATCGTCAGTTGTATTTACCGACTCTGGAAAGTACACAAGCAAATCATCTGAATCAGAACTGAAGCGTCTTTCTTCTTTCCAACATTAACACGTGCTGTTCTCTCATACATGCGCTTACTTTTAGTACTAAGTAATGTTTTCATGTTTTTTTCAGCTTCTTCTTTTATTTTAATTGGAATATCTTAAATATTTTCCATTTTTAGACGTAATTGATAATCAAAATTAATCGTCTCTAAGACACTAAGGAGATCGTAAAAATACATTGGAAGGCCTACTAAAATAGGTCTTGTTCAGAACCAATATGACGCCATCAAACACATACCTCTCATGGTAAAGATGTGATTGAATTAGTCAAAAATAAAATTATTCTCTAATAGAACCGAAAAACATATTGAACGAAACACGTGAATAAAGGGGTATAATTGCACCCATGGTAAATAAGAAAACTCGTTCCAATCGTCGCTCGTTTTCTTCAATTCATGCAATTATACCGCTCTTTATATATTCGTTTCGTTAATTATTATAATAAAACGATACAATTATTTAATAAGGTATTATTAGTAAAAACTGTTTTAATAAATTTATTCCAATAATATTAACAACTACATAAATTATTATTTAAGTTACTTTTAAACTTTAGAAACCTAAAGGAAAAATTCAAAGACTGTCGCAGGCCACCTACTCCTGCCCATGATTGATCTACAAGTACTTATAATATTGTTCTACTAGAATTTGTAAAGATGCATTTTTCATCATCTGTTCTCTGTGATCTGAACTAAATTTTGTGCTTGCGATCTGAACTTCAGTAAGAGGGTCTACCGAGTCAAATGTAAATATCTTTCTAAGCTCGATAACCTACCTCAATAACCTAATTGCTTTGTGCAAGGCAGAATGCCTTGCTTTAACCCATCTGATCTCCAGGGACTCATTCTATTGGCTCGGAAGGTACCTTTTCATGCTTTTCTCTGTACTATATCCAGATTTTTCTTTTGTGGATTTCTCTGAGGGTTGTTATAAACCGTCTCGTATTCCATCAATTGGCGAAAAAGAAGATAAGCGAGCTAATTATCTGGCTTATAAAATACTCTTTTGAATTATAAGCATAGTAAAATACAAAACCTCAAGACTCTTACTATGACAAAGTTTTCATGACTTTCCCAAGACAGTTTGTTGAACATTTTTATCAAATACCTTCTAGACCAGACTCTTGGAATATTCTCATTGACTATACGGTATTTCATTCCACTGCAAATCCGGCCCCACCAAAAACATGATAATTTTGCCTTTCTTTTTATTGTCATGCGGCGCCGACGTTGCCACAACTGCCTCCGTCTCCGTCATTGTCGACACCGCCTGCGTCGTCATCACCATCACCTACATCGCACCACCACCACCACCTCCGTTGGCGTAGCCACCCTCTCCGTCGCCGTCCACACCGCCTCCATCACCGTCACCACCGCCTCCGTCACCATGAGCACCGCCTCTGTCGCCGTCACTTCCGCCTCCGCCGCCGTTACCTTCGTCTCCGTCGCCGTCACCACCGCCTCCGTCACCGTCACCACCGCCTCCGTCACCGTCACCACCGCCTCCATCGTCATCACCACCGCCTCCGTCGCCATCACTATCGCCGTCACCACCGCCTCCATTGTGTACACTTCTGCCTCCGTCGCCGATACTGCCTCCGCCGTTAACACTACCGCTGTCGCTATCACCATCGCATCCGTTGCCACTGTCGTCATTACCGCTTGCGCCAACGCCTTCTTTCTCAACCTCTTCCTCATCCTCACTTTGTCCGCATTGTCTGATAGATGATTGTCTGTATAGACGCGAACATGAGCGAATGATATCGTTGTGTAAGCGACCTAGCTTCCACACTCCCTTCTGATGTAAATGAAGTCCGTTTTGCGTCAAATTCGCGGTATAGCTAGAACTTTGGGTCTACAAAATAAAGAATATTCATACGACAAACAAATCTGCTAAAAATTACTTGAGTATTTTTTTTTTGACAATCTGACCGACTATCAGGCACTGTCTAACCGTTTCAAACACAGACTGATTGTTCAATGAATTGGATCGAACGTGTACAAGAATAACTTCCGAATTTCCACTTTCCTCAATTAAGGAAATTTTATTCTTCATTACTGCGCCTACATAGAATGCCTCGTTAGCCTCGAATAAGATGTCACACGCCGGAATAAACCATGTGTTGAGTGTTTGATATTACGCATTGTGTTAACAGTATAACACAAATTATGTAAAACCTGCAGCAAAAACGGTTTATAGATGCTGCACATAGACACAGCCCGCTATAACAAACAAAATTGGATCTGCCCGACAGCGTAGTAAGTGTCTCGTCCTGACGTGGTTGTAGTGGGGCCGAAATTATAAAAATTTAAAAAAATATCGGCAGAAACCTTGACGAGGGCGCTCATCTGGATTTCGAAGAAGGGCCTCTTTGTTTAAGTCTCGGAGGGCCGTTTGAATTGCCCGCGCTTGGTCCGCCGATGACAGAATGAGGGCATCGATTTTCAGTCAGTTACCAATAACAATCTGAAAACAAAACATTCTTCCAAAGCTACAGGTTTAAAAATAACCTGTAGTCGTACTTAGACTTTTAAAATTGTTTTAAGATTATGCAGACTCTACGTTTCATTTCGATCTCTAGTGTACGAAGTATTACCAATATTGAAACATCCCGGCAGTACACTATGTAACTGGGCACGCGTGTAATTAATGTTTTTTAGTTAAGCTATTTATAAATACACCAGTTTGAAATTATGCACATTTGAATTTCATTAAACTGAGAATATAATATTGTTTTTAAAATAGAATTTTATTTTTGCATAATTTGTAAAATTGATTTTTTAATTAT